AGTTATTCACTGCGTGGAGCTTCCCATAGCATGTATTCGCATGGACCTGTCCGCCGTGAGTGTCTAGGCGCAAGAATTTTCGAATATAAACGGGCTTGAGTTGTGACGGTCTGGTCATGAGAATCTAACTGCGAAAGACTTGGAGTGTGAATGAGTCTCAGTAGTACGAGCGTGTCTCTGCGCAGGAGCCTGGGGCCTCCTGGGGCATCCTGAAACCTCTGGGGCTTCCTGGGGCCTCCAGGAGCCTGGGCCTCCTGGGGCCTCTTGAGGCTTCGAGTGGCCTCCTGAGGCCTCCTGGAGCCTCGCGTGGCCTCCTGGGGCCTCCTGCAGCCTCCTGGGACCTCCTAGGGAGGATTCGGGCCCCAGGAGAGGCCCGATCTATTGGAACATACGTACATAACACATTGCGCATTGGAGCCGCAGGAGAAGGGCAATCTATAGGAACACACATAAAACAACAAGGACTCGTGCCCCAGTGGAGGCCCAAACTATAGGAACATAAGTAACAAATTTAGGCCCATATACACACACGAGAAGGACAATCTATAGAAACATACGTATAACATCAAGGCTTCGTGCTCCAGGTGAGGCCCAATCTATAGGAGCATACGTAAAACACATGGGATTGGAGCCACTCCTGTTGCCTTCTGAGGCCTCCTGCTCCTGGGGCCTCTCGGGGCCTCCTGTTGCCTTCCGGGGCCTCCTGGCGCTTCCTGTGGCCTCCTGGGGCCTCCAGTGGCTTCCTGAGGCCTCTTGGAGCTTCCTGGGGCCTCCTGGAGTCTCTTGGGACATCCTGTGGCCTCTTGAGTCTTCCTTTGGCCTCCTGATGCCTCCTGGGACCTCATGTAGCCTCCTGGGGCCTCCTGGAGCATGCTGGAGCCTCCTGTGGCATCCTGGGGCCTCCAGTGGCTTCCTGAGGCCTCTTGGAGCTTCCTGGGGCCTCCTGGAGTCTCTTGGGACATCCTGTGGCCTCTTAAGTCTTCCTTTGGCCTCCTGATGCCTCCTGGGACCTCATGTAGCCTCCTGGGACCTCCTAAGGAGGATTCGTGCCCCAGGAGAGGCCCAATCTATTGGAACATATGTACATAAAACTCTGCGCAGTGGAGCCGCAGGAGAAGGGCAATCTATGGGATCACACGTAAAACACCAAGGACTCGTGCCCCAGTGGAGGCCCACTATATAGGAGGATAAGTAAAACATTTAGGACTGTATACACACGAGAAGGACAATCTATAGAAACATACGTATAACATCAAGGATTCGTGCTCCAGGTGAGGCCCAATATATAGGAGCATAAGTAGAACACATGGGATTGGAGCCACTCCTGTTGCCTTCTGAGGCCTCCTGCTCCTGGGGCCTCTCGGGGCCTCCTGTTGCCTTCCGGGACCTCCTGGCGCTTCCTGTGGCCTCCTAGGGCCTCCAGTGGCTTCCTGAGGCCTCTTGGAGCTTCCTGGGGCCTCCTGGAGTCTCTTGGGACATCCTGTGGCCTCTTGAGTCTTCCTTTGGCCTCCTGATGCCTCCTGGGACCTCATGTAGCCTCCTGGGGCCTCCTGGAGCATGCTGGAGCCTCCTGTGGCATCCTGGGGAGAATCTTTGCCCACGAGTCTGGCCACCCAAACAGGCAAACCGATCGAGACATCCTCAACATATGGCCCCCCTGGGGGGCGAACATGAGCGCCTCGCTCGAGACATCCTCCAAATCTGCTCCGAAAGCGGAGGATGTTGAGCATGCAAACAGGCAAACCGCTCGAGACATGCCTGCCAGTTGGGCGCGAACGGAGGCCGTGCAATACACCTGGCGGCCCTCCCTTAGGAGGCGCCTCGCACGAGACATAGTCAAAATCTGCTCCGAAAACGGAGGATGTTGAGCATGCAAACAGGCAAACCGCCCGAGACATGCCCGCCATTTGGGCGCGAACGGAGGCCGTGCAATACCCTTGGCCGCCCCCCCTGAGGAGTGCTAAAACCAGCAAGCCGCTCGAGACATCCTCATCATCTGCTCATCGTCATCATGATGATGATGATGATGATCATCATCATCATCATCATCATCATCATCACCATCACCATCACCATCACCATCACCATCATCATAATCATATTCGTATTCATGCTCATATTCATACTCATCCATCATTCACCATCACCATCAGATTCGCATCATACTCCCATCACAATCTTCATCACTGTCCAGTGCAGAGAGGGAGGAGGGGAGGTGAGAGGTCCGGCGCGGTTAGAGAATTATTCACTGCGTGGAGCTCCTCATATGTGCATCTATTTGCTTGGACTGGGTGTGAGTGAATATGATTATGAGTATGATGAGTACGAGTCTGAGCACAAGTGAGTCTGGGACATCCTCGCAATCTGCCCCCCCTGGGGTGCGAAAGCCCGTGAGTCTGAGTATGAGTATATTGAGTACGAGTCTAAGTCTGAATGGGTCTGAGTACGAGTGAGTTTGACTACGAGTGAATCTGAGGGCGGGTGGGTCTGAGTGTGAGTGATTCTGAGCGTGAGTGAATCTGAATGTGAGTGCGTCTGAGTATGAGTCTGATGGATATGAAACTGGCCCTGAGTGGGTCTGAGTACGAGTGAGTCTGACTACAAATGAGTCTGAGGGATGGGTGGGTCTAAGTGTGAGTGAGTCTGAGTGTGCGTAAGTCTGGGTGTGAGTGAGTCTGAGTATGAGTATCATGAGTGCGAGTCTGAATATGAGTGAGCCTGATCACGAGTGAGTTTGAGCATAAGTGAGTCTAGGACATCCTCGCAATCTGGGCCCTCTGGGAGTGCGGAAATCAGCGCCTCGCCACAGACATCCTCAGAGTCTGCTTTGACAACAGACGAGTCTGACCACCAAAACACGCAAGCCGCTTGAGACATCCTCGAAATCTGGCCCCCTCTGGGGTACGACAACCAGCGCCTCGCCTGAGACATCCTCAACATCTGCTCCGAAAGTGGAGGATGTTGGGGACCAACACAGGCAAACCGCTTGAGGCATCCCCACCATTAGGGCGCGAACGGAGGCCGTGCAATACCCCCCTTAGGATATTAAAACCAGCAAACCGCCTGAGACGTCCTCAGAATCTGCTCCGACAGCGAAGGATGTTGAGGACCACAACAGGCAAACCGCCTGAGACATCCCCGCTATTTGGGCGCGAACGGAGGCCGTGCAATACCCCTGGCGGACCCCCCCGTAGGAGTGCTAAACCCAGCAAGCCGCTCAAGACATCCTCATCATCTGCTCATCGTCATCGTCTTCATCATCACCGTCACCATCATCATCATCATCATCATCAGCAGCAGCAGCATCATCATCAACAGCAACGTCTTCATCATCATCATCATCATCATCATCATCATCATCATCATCATCATCATCATCATCATCATCATACTCATCCATCATTCACCATCACCACCATACTCACATCATACTCTCACCATACAATGGTTATCATCATGACACTCATCATCACTGTCTAGTGTAGAGAGGGAGCAGGGGAGTGGTGGTCCGGCGTGGTCGGATACTTATTCACAGCGTGGAGCTCCCCCTATGTGCATCTATTCGCATGGGCCTGTCCGCCGTGAGAGTCTAGGCGCCAGGGTTTTCGAATATAAGCGGGGTTCAGTTGTGACGGTCTGGTCATGAATCTAGCTTCGAACGGATTGGAGCGTGAATGAGTCTCGGTATTACGAGCGCGTCTCTGCGCATGAGCCTGGGGCCTCCTGGGGCCTCCATAACCTCCTGGGCCTTCCTGGGGGCTCCAGGAGCCTCTTGGGGCCTCCTGGGGCCTCTTGGGGCTTCGAGTGGCCTCCTGAGGCCTCCTGGAGCCTCGCGTAGCCTCCTGGAGCCTCCTGCAGCCTCCTGGGACCTCCTAGGGAGGATTCGTGCCCCAGGAGAAGCCCGATCTATAGGAACAGACGTACATCAAACATTGCGGATTGGAGCCACAGGAGAAGGGCAGTTTATAGGAGCACACGTAAACACCAAGGACTCGTGCCCAAGGGGAGGCCCAACATATAGGAACAGACGTAAAACATTCAGGATTGTATACACAGGAGCAGGACAATCTATAGAAACATACGTATACCATCAAGGATGCGTGCTCCAGGTGAGGCCCAAAATATATGAGCATACGTAAAACACATGGGATTGGAGCCACTCCTGTTGCCTTCTGAGGCCTCCTGCTCCTGGGGCCTCTCGGGGCCTCCTATTGCCTGGGCCTCGTGGCGTTTCCTGTGGCCTCCTGGGGCCTCCTGTTGCTTCCTGAGTCCTCCTGGAGCTTCCTGGGGCCTCCTGGAGCCTCTTGGGACATCCTGTGGCCTCTTGACTCTTCCTGTGGCCTCCTGATGCCTCCTGGGACCTCCTGGGGCCTCCTGAAGCCTGCTGGAGCCTCCTGTAGCATCATGCGGAGAATCTGTGGCCACGAGTCTGGCCACCCAAACAGGCAAACCGATCGAGACATCCTCAAAATCTGCCCCCCCCCCCCAGAGGGCGAAAGTTAGCGCCTCGCTCGAGACATCCTCAACATCTGCTCCGAAAGCGGAGGATGTTGGGAACCAAAACACCAAAACAGGCAAACCGCCTGAGACATCCCCGCGATTTGGGCGCGAACGGAGGCCGTGCAATACCCCTGGCGGCCCCCCCTTAGGAGGCGCCTCGCACGAGACATCCTCAACATCTGCTCCGAAAACGGAGGATGTTGCGGACCAAAACAGGCAAACCGCTTGAGACATCCCCGCGATTTGGGCGCGAACGGAGGCCGTGCAATACCCCTGGCGGCCCCCCCTTAGGAGTGCGAAAACCATCAAGCCGCTCGAGACATCCTCATCATCTGCTCATCGTCATCATCATCATCATCATCATCATCATCATCATCATCATCATCATCATCATCATCATCATCATCATCATCATCGTCACATCACATCACATCACATCACATCACATCACATCACATCACATCACATCACATCACATCACATCACGTCACATCACTCATCATCACCATACCACGGCCACCATCATGGTATGGGTGGTCCGGCGCGGTCGGAGAATAACAAGAACCCCATCTTTAGGAGATGGGGGAAAACAAAAAAAACATCCTTTGGATATGGGGAAAATCAATAACCCCATCCTCTGGATATGGGGAAAATGGCCTTGCCTTCGAGGATAGAAGGAGTTGTCACCTCTTCCGCAGCGGAAGGCGGCGGAAGGGCGGCGGAAGGTCGGCGGAAGTAGAACGAGGCCGCCTCCGTTGGCGGAAGCCGGCGGAAGGTGGCGGAAGGTGGCGGAAGTGAGGTTTGCGTCACCAAGAGATGAACATGTTCTTGGGTTCAGGGTCTCCGAAATGCGCCATCTGTTCGGGTCGGACGCTCACCTCCAAGAAGGACCGACAGAGCTAGCGCGCCCTCCCGTCTGTCGTCCATCGCCCTTCCGTCGGCCGCGTCGTCTCCCCGACTTCTGCCACAGGGCACCTCCTCTCGGCCACACGCGGGGAGTGGTGGGGGGGAGGGGGGATGGCTTCTTCGGAGGCAGAAGGCGCGGCTGCCAAACCTCGCCTCCATAGAGGACGCACAGTTCCCTTGTCTCCCCAGACCCCCGACGTCATGAGTTTTTCGTAACGTCTACCCCCAGAGATCTCGACCCCTTCCCCGGGACCAGGTTTTCATCCTGCGTCGTTTTCTGATGGTCCTGAGGGCTGGCAAGGGCCCCCCGAGGCCGAAAATAGCCAACAGCCTCCCGTCGTGATTGTTGCAGAGCGCGAGGGGGTCCAGGCCTGTGCGCCCCAGGAGGAGGGCGGCCACGACGCGGACGCGGAGGGCGACGACGACCAGGTGGGCGACGCAACAGAAACGGGGTCGTCTGCGCCGACATTCGCGCATCTGCTGCTCGCGTAATGTCGCGCGTAGGCGCCCTCGCTTCAGGTGTGGACTGCCGCGCTGTTGGCCCGTGTGAGCCTTCGCGCAAGGTCGCCATGCCATCTCGCGTCAGACCCGTTTTCGATCGTCGCTCAGGTGGTGCTGCTGTCCCTGCCGGGCGGCGGCGAAGGCGCCGAGGGGGACTCGCCGGCGGGGCCGAGCCGCGGCAGGCGCAGCATCCGGAAGAGGGAACCGCGGCAGAGGCCGGAGACTCTCCTCGGAGGCCCCCGCGCGGGCTTCTCGCATCGGCGCAGGGCCCAGAGCTGTCCTCTGGCCAGGAACAAGAAAAACGCGACGGGAGGTGTTCCCTATGTTCGGCCTCTTTGGGGCCCTCGCAGGCCCTCGGGACCGTCAAAAATCTCCCTCTCCCTCTCCCTCTCCCTCTCCCTCCTCCTCCTCCTCCTCCTCCTCCTCACGAGTCAGGACGAAAAGCCAGTCCCGGGGAATGGGTCGAGACTCTTGGGGGTTGACGTTGGATGGCCCCCCTATGGACCCCCAAATTAACATAGGAGGACGTGGCAAGCAAGGGGGCTCGAGTGGACAAATGCGGTCAAACGTCCAGATCACCGTCCATACGGAGTTCAACATTGATGATTATGGGGAGCGGGGGGAAGTCAATATCAGGGCTGGACCTAAACGCTGTTTTTCCCCACATCCAAAGTGGGGTTCTTGTTTTCTCTGCACACGCCGCGCAGGATCTCACACCCCCCCTTTCCTTCCTCTCTCACACACACTCACCATCATCACCATCATCATCACCATCAACCACCATCATCGTCATCACACGCACACACTCATCATCATTACCATCATCATCGCCATCAACCACCATCACCGTCATCACTACTCATCATCATCATCCTCATCATCATCATCGTCACCATCATCACCACTCCATCACCCACTCACTCACTCAATTACTCACTCATCCTCAGTAGGCTTCGGAGGCAGTGGTCCTCCGACGGTAGGACCGCCGCCTCTCTCAACATCATCGTAACCATCACCATCATCATCTCTCGACCACCCAGTCACTCACTGGTCATCATCATCATCAGCATCATCATCACTCACTCATCACTCATTCATCATCAGCACTCACTGACTCATCACTTCGTCATTAATCATTCCCTAGATTGAATATGGTGGAAATATCAGGCGGGAGCCTCGTCGGTGAGTGAATTGCGAGGAAGTCTCAGGCGGGAACCCCCTCCCCATGGGGCCCGCACTTCATGTTGGTAATCCGAGCGGGTCATCCGAAACGTGTAACTGTCGTCACTTTTGGGCTCCTGAGGCCTGACTATGGAGGAAGTATCAGGCGGGAGCCTCGTCTGTGAGAATTGCGAGGAAGTCTCCGGCGGGAGCCCCCTCCTTATGGGGCCCGCATTTCATGTTGGTAATCCGAGCGGGTCTTCCGAAACGTGTAACTGTCGTCACTTTTTCGCTCCTGAGGTTTGATTACGGAGGAAGTATCAGGCGGGAGCCTCGTCTGTGAGTGAATCGCGAGGAAGTCTTAGGCGGGAGCCCCCTCCCTATGGGGCCCGCACTTCATGTTGGTAATCCGAGCGGGTCATCCGAAACGTGTAACCGTCGTCACTTTTGGGCTCTTGAGGCTTGAATATGGACAGGCGGGAGCCTCGTCTGTGAGTGAATTGCGAGGAAGTCTCAGGCGGGAGCCTCCTCCCTATCGGGCCCGCAGATCATGTTACTAATCCGAGCGGGTCATCCTGAAACTTGTAACTGTTGTCACTTTTGGGCTCCTGAGGCTTGATTATGAAAGAAGTATCGCGCGGGCGCCTCGTCTGTGAGTGAATTGTGAGGAAGTCTCAGGCGGGAGCCCCCTCCCTATGGGGCCCGCAGGTCATGTTACGAATCCGAGCGGGTCATCCTGAAACCTGTCACTGTCGTCACTTTTTCGCTCCTGAGGTTTGATTACGGAGGAAGTATCAGGCGGGAGCCTCGTCTGTGAGTGAATTGCGAGGAAGTCTCAGGCGGGAGCCTCCTCCCGATGGGGCCCGCAGATCATGTTACTAATCCGAGGCGGGTCATCCTGAAACCTGTAACTGTCGTCACTTTTGGGCTCCTGAGGCTTGAATATGGAAGAAGTATCGCGAGGTGCTGCAGCAGCGCGCCGATGGCGCTGGCGACGACGGCGAGGCCGAGGCGCGGGCGAGGAGCTTGCTCATGTTCAGGCCCAGCGAGCAGGAGCTCACGTGGCAGAGCTCGGGGGCGCACACTGTGCGCCGCTCGGGGTTCACCCTGACGCATGCGTCCTACCTGACCTCCACGCTGTCGCAGGGCCAGACGCTGCGCAAGGGCGTCACCATCGACTGCGCCAGGGATGAGGACGCTGGCCGCGCGGGCATGTCGGACGAGATGTGGTGGCTGCACCTCTACGTCATGTTCTCCCGCGCCACGCGCATGCGGAACATGCTGATCCTGCGGCCGCCCGCGCGAGAGGTCCTGGAGCGCAGGCCGCCGGCTTCCCTGCGGAAGGCGCTACAGGAGTTTGACAAGAGAGCGGTGGGCTCCAGGGCTGAGGCGGAGCTGCTCGCGGCAGAGCTGGGCTTCGTGCTGCCGCCCGCCTGAGCGCCGCGGCGCGCGCCTGGAGGCCCGCGGGGTTGTCCCGACGGCTGGATCCCGCGCCCCTGCGGCCTGCGAGGTTGTCCCAACGGCCTGGCCCGAAGGGTTGCCCCGACGGCTTCGCGATCTAGCCGTCGGCAAACGCGCGCGCGCTGGCCGACGCGGCGATGGCGCCGAGGAAAATCGAGTTGCTTGCCACGACCAGAGGGGAACGGGAGGTGCACGTGGAGGAGAGGCAGGAGGACGAGGAGGGAAGGGGCATGGGGGAGGGCGACGACGAAGAGGAGGTGGCGCGAGAGGAGGAGGAGGAGGAGGAGGAGGAGGAGGAGGAGAAGGAGGAAGAGAAATAGAAGGAGGAATAGAGGGCAGTGCAGAGGGCGAGAGGAGAGGGTGTCCGCCAGGGGGGGAGGAAAGGGCAAAGGGTAAGCTAAACAGATTCTCGTGTGGGGTCCTACCGTCGGAGTAATTGTTTTTTTCGTTTTGGCAGAGATTTACAGGACAAATACCCTGGCGACGTACCCAATCCCTGCGCAAACGCGGGGCGCAAATAGCTTAGGACACCTTATAAAGGGGGGCGATGGCGGAGCGAGGGTTGCATATGTATGCAGACGGAATTCGGGTGACTCGCAGGACATTGGCTACAGGACAAGGACTAGATAAAGCTGATTAGTTACAATCCCTGAGCACCCCTAGCAATTTCGAAAGCGGGGATCTCATATCGCAGCCCCCGAGAGATGGCGATGTCTAACTTGAATCTGCGGCGAGGTCCCAGAAACAATAACGGTTCGAGGATGATGTGATCGAGGGCCTGAGAGCAACTCACGAGGCATGAGGGGCGTCTCGTGGAGAGCAAGCTGCTTCTTTCCGCTCCGCCCCCTGCAAATGATGTGGTCAGCGCTTGCATCTCTTACGAGGTACAACTCTTCACCCAGCGGGTTCCGAACAATTTGATGCAGCATAAACGCAGACACGTGTGATTGAACTACGACGACGGCGATGACGACGACGACGACGACAACACCGGCGACGAGGATGACGACGGTAATGACGACGACGACAACGGAGACAATGACAACGGTGATGACGACGATGACTACGACGATGATGACGACGACGGTGACGACGACTCAACGACGACGACGGCGACGGCGACGACGTCGGCGACCCGACGGTGACGAGAATGACGACGCCGACGACGATGACGACGCCGACGGCGACAACGACGACGACGACGACGGCGGCGACGACGCCGACGACGTCCCAGACAAGCGGCGAACGTCCTGCTCCTCATTCGCCTCCTCCTCCTCCTCCGACTCCGCCGCGTCCTGACCCGCAGCCCTTCCGGCCCAAGGATACGGAGGTCTATTGTGGATCCGCGTAGCGCGTCACTGTGCTGGGCCCCCAGCAGGCTTCGAAAGTGGCGACAGTTTCACATATCGCAGCCCCCCAGGGATGGCGAGGTCTAGTTTGGGTCTGCGTGTTGCCTCACTGCGCTGGGCCCCCCAGCAGGCCTCGGAAGTGGCGACAGTTTCGCAGATCGCAGCCCCCCCAGGGATGGCGAGGTCTAATTTGGGTCCGCGTGTGGCGTCACTACGCTGGGCCCCCAGCAGGCTTCGACAGTGGCGACCGTTTCACAGATCGCAGCCCCCCAGGGATGGCGAGGTCTAGTTTGGGTCTGCGCGTGGCGTCACTGTGCTGGGCCCCCCAGCAGGCCTCGAAAGTGGCGACCGTTTCGCAGATCGCAGCCCCCCAGGGATGGCGAGGTCTAATTTGGGTCCGCGCGTGGCGTCACTGAGCTGGGCCCCCCAGCAGGCCTCGAAAGTGGCGACCGTTTCACAGATCGCAGCCCCCCAGGGATGGCGAGGTCTAGTTTGGGTCCGCGCGTGGCGTCACTACGCTGGGCCCCCCAGCAGGCTTCGAAAGTGGCGACAGTTTCACAGATCGCAGCCCCCCAGGGATGGCGAGGTTTAATTTGGGTCCGCGCGTGGCGTCAGTGCGCTGGGCCCCCGGGCAGGCCTCGAAAATAGCGACAGTTTAACAGATCGCGGCCCCCCAGGGATGGCGAGGTTTAATTTGGGTCCGCGCGTGGCGTCATTGCGCTGGGCCCCCCAGCAGGCCTCGAAAGTAGCGACCGTTTCACAGATCGCAGCCCCCCAGAGATGGCGAGGTCTAATTTGGGTCCGCGCGTGGCGTCAGTGCGCTGGGCCCCCCAGCAGGCCTCGAAAGTAGCGACAGTTTCACACATCGCGGCCCCCCAGGGATGGCGAGGTCTAATTTGGGTCCGCGCGTGGCGTCACTGCGCTGGGCCCCCCCCAGCAGGCCTCGAAAGTAGCGACAGTTTCACAGATCGCAGCCCCCCACAGGCAAGACAGAAGGAGGCAGGCAGGAGGCAGGAGGGAGGCGAGAGGAGACGCGCGAGCAGTGCTCTATTCAAAACGAATACCCAACCAAGGAGGGTTGGGAATAAAGCAGGAAGCAGGACGCAGGAGGGAGGGAGGCGGGAGGAAGGAAGGTAGAGACCACAATTCTTCATTCAAAACGAATACTCAACCATGGAGGGTTGGGAAAAAAGGTAAAACAGAACGAATAACAACACGAAATCAAAACGAACAACGACGTTCAGGCCCAGCCCTGGTCAATATCCCTCCAAGTCTGCATTGGGTTAGAATAACCGAGTGCCCCGGATAATAAAGCCTACTCCCCCCTTTCCCCCTATTTATTCTTCCCGGTTCAATCGGATTTCATTGTGGAGAGGGGCGCGGAGGCCGAATTTGATAATCCACGGGGGACGTTGCGAGTCGAAATTGCTATCATCTCATTTTGACCAGCAACAGCATCAAAAAAACGCTGAGCATGGCCATGGTGGTCTCTCCATATCAGTTTCCGCAATCGCGAGCGTGTGGCTGGGCTGTGGGGTTCTCACCAGTTCAGTTTGCCCAGGTCACGAACGTGCGGCAGGGCCATGGGATTCTCACTTTCTCAGGCGTTCCCGAGTCAGGAGCGTGTGGCAGGACCACGTGGGCCGATTGGATTTTGATGTTACGTGCGTTCTTGCTTGTGAATTAGCGCAAGATAGGTTTCTTGGCCAGAACGGCCAAGGACCTCTCTTGCGCCTGCAAGTTGTAGCCTCGAGCCTCGAGATCTCTCGAGTCAGTTTTGTACCAAGATCTACAAGGTCAGTCTACAAGAGCGCCCAGGATCACCACCATCATGATCATCGCCATCTTCATCATAACTTCTAACTAACATCACCTTCCCCGGGGAAATTGTTGATTATCCCCGCCAGACCCCCGAACTTTGTTATCTGGGGGTGATGATAATCTGGGGCGCAGGGTTATATTGTCCATGCGCTGTCCCTCCCTGAGATCCAGACGCTGCGATCTTTGTCACGGGGGGCGTTTTTTGACTGGTTTCGGGCCCCGGGGCCCGCGCAGGTCGATCCGGCTTGAAAATTCTGGAGGTAGGAAGGGGTGAGGCATACAGGGGTGTGGTGCCAATCGTGTAAATGGAGACGTTATCTACGATAGGTAGCATCGCCAGATGCAGCATTGGCACCACACACTTTTATGCCACAGAAGATGGGGTCTGGGGTTCCCAGGGTGATGTTCGTTTTTTTTGTTCTCTACAATTGTGTGCAACGTCGGATCTCAGGGCTGGTGCGCGGAGTGCGCCCAGGGGCGGCACCGGAGGCGCTGCCTCAGGGGGTTGCAGCACCGACCGGGTGTTCTGTAAAGGGGGGGACTCAAACTTAGGTCGGGCATGTCCCCGTACAGGAGGATTTTGGACGAAACATAAAACATATCCAACACATATCAAGAACAAGCGATCACAGTTTGTCAAAGATTGTGCCCAGACTGTGTTTGGAGTGCTTGTGGATGTTCCTCCTCTAGAGGGGCATGCCCAGCTTAGCACTGGACGGGGGGTGGAGAAACGTTTTTGCGTCTCGTGCACCGTTTGGGGGCCCCGCGGTGGCAGTCCCGGGGCCCTTCGAGGCCTCCCGAGGGCCACGTTCCCGTAGTCCTCGCTGCCCCCCGCGTTGATTCTTCCCCCCGCTGCCGAGGCGGGAATTTGTACACGACCGCCGCCCGGGGGATCAGTTTTCGGGGACGTCGGCAGGCGGTGGACATGGATGTGTTCGAGCGCCCGGGGGCCAATCTCTCTCTCTCTCTCTCTCTCTATATATATATGTGTGTGTATCCATATCCGCCGCCCGCTGGGGCACCAGGGCGTCGGTTCCCAGGCGATGGATATGGATAAATCCCCGCCTCGCACCGCTGCCGCCCGCCCGATCCGATCCAAGAACTCTGCGCGGAGCTCCGAGAGTTGATGGTCACGACAAGTCCGTGTCGTGTCGACGCGGCGGCGGCGACACCGCCGCGGGCGTTCAAGTTTGAGCGCCGCCGGTGGCTCAGCATTGGCCAGCATGGAGCGACCTGCGCCACTGAGACGCCGTCGATCGTTCCAGGCCGAGCGGCGCACGCGGCGTCAGAAACCGGCGCCGGGGGCCGTCGTGGCGCGGACCCGCCGCGTGCCGTCTTTCCCTCCTCCTGGCATCGCGATCCAGGGTGAGGGCCTGGCAAGGCCGGCGGAGGGCCCCGGGGGCGAGGAGCTGACGGCCGAGCTCGAGAGGCTGCAGGCGGAGGTCGCGGGCGCCACGCTGCTGCTGCAGCGGCGGGCGCAGCCCAGCGGCTGCCCCAGCGCGGTGCTGCGGGCGCTGGTGGCGGTGGACATGGAGAGGGCGCAGGCCATCTCGGGAGGGAGAAGAGCTCACAGGCACGCGTAATCTTGAGTCGGACATGTCCGTCCACAGGAGAAAGATTCACAGATTGTAAGAACATAGTCTGGGGACGGTTTTTCTTTGTTTGTTGCAACATGGTTTGATTTGTTATCTTATTTTGTTTCGCCCGAAATCCGCCTGTAGGAGGACATGCCCGGCCTAAGCAGAATCGTCGATTCCCACGAGAAATTGGAAAATATGGGGGGGACGACGAGAACCCAGAAAATGTATGAACAGACGGGGGATCTTGGGATTTGTGCCTATCTATATTTGTGTCCCTGGGCCCTTTTACCTAAGAGGAGGAACGGGCACGGTTGGTTTGGGTCATGTCGGCTCGGCGGCGACATCGTCGTGGGCCTTCAAGGTTGAACGCGGCCAGTGGCCCAGAATCGGCCAGTATGGAATGACCTTGCGATCGAGAAGCCGCCGATCGTTCGAGGTCGAACGATCCACGCGGTGTCAGAAACCACCGCAGCAGCAGTCACGACACGAGCCTGCATCAAAAGGAGGAGCTGAGGACTGGACTGAGGACTGAGAACTGGGGCACGAGCCCCCTAGTGCGCAATCCTGAAGACTGAGGACGGCAAGGGGCCCGAGGGCACTCCAATTCGTGCCTCGCGGCACGGTGGGGGACCCCTCAGTAGTTTTCGCCGTCTTGGCCCTCCTGGGAGGCCTTCGTCGCCACCGCCGGATCCGCCTCGAGCTTCCTGGCCAGGAAGCAGATCGTTAGACGTCCAGGGTGTAGCGGTGGAAATGGCGAGAGGGCGCGCGCCTTCAGAGGAGGAGCGTGTACCGACACGGCAAGCGAAGGCGTCTGCGGCAAGTCACTGCCGCCCGCTGCCTTTCGGAAGCGCCGATGTTCGTTATGCAAATACGTCCCCGAAGCTTAATCTCACCTTTCATTGGTGGCCTAACGTAGGTCCTCGGTTTTCAGGGGGTTATCCCTAAACCTGCAAAACAAAACAAAAGCCTAGCCCCAGCCCTACTGTTTTGGCCCTTCTAGCTTGGGCCCCCTCCCAAAGGATTAGGGGCCCTGTTCTGGCTAATCCTACGTGGCCGACTTCGAGGCCATCCCTGGATCTTGTGGGGCTGGAAGATCGGCGACCTGGGAGGGTGACGAGTTGTTATGCCTTGCCGGCGGGTCGGGCCGCAGTCTCTTAGGGACCTCCCGAAAGGACCTAACCATTTCGACATCTGGCACGCCGTGCCCCCCTGTGGCAAGCTCAGGGGGCGCCGGATCGAAGACGCCTACAGCGGATCACCGCCGCCCCCTGCTTGCTGGAAACGCCAATGCAGCCAGATGTTCGGCCGAAGTCTGGCCAAGCTATTGGGCTGTGTGTTCCCCCAGCCGTTGTGGAAACCCTTGGGGGGACACTGGGGAGAGGAAGAGAACGGAGGAGAGGGAGATGAAGGAGGAGACGGAAGAAGAGGAGGCCTCTTGAAGCCCTCTCGAGCCTCCTGGGGGCTTCCTATGAGCCTTCTGGGGGCCTTAGGCGTCTTGGGAGCCTCCTGGGGCCTCTTGGGGTTCTTCTGGGGCCTCTTTGGGACCTGTTAGGGGTCTCTGGGTGTCTCTGCGGGACCTCGTGGCCTTCGAGGGCGGTCTTGGGGCCTGCTGTAGGGCCATCTTGGGAGCCTCTTGGGTTGCCTTGGGGCCCTCTTGGGCCGTCTTGCTGGCCTCTTGGGGGCCTCTTGGGCCGTCTTGGGGCGGTCATGGGGGCTTCTGTGCCCGCCTTGGAGCGTCGGGTGCCCGAACAGGCGAGAACGCTCAACGCATTGAAAGACCTTCTAGGACAATCAATGCTGTTGGCCTCCTGGGGATCCTCTCAGAGCCCTCCTGGGGCGTCTGAGGGGCCCCTCGGGCCTTCCGGAGCACATCTTGGAGCGTCTTGAGACCATCGTGGCCGTCTTACAAGCTCAGTATTGTTTAACCGAACCCCATCCCCATCCCCTTCGAGACTCCCACCAAATTACCCCCCCCCGTTGGGGATGTACCCCTCGAAATCCGAAGGGAACGACCTATATCCCCATCTAGGGGGGTAAATCGGCCAGTGGGGCCCAGGCCACGCCGCTGGGGATGGGGATCGGTTAGACGATACTCATAAGCGTCGTGGGACCGTCTTGGAGGCCATCTTGGCCGCCTTGGAGACATCTTGGCCGTCTTGGAGGCCTTCCTGGCCGTGCTGGACGCGATTGGACCAACGGAGGCCGAATTTTCGACGGCTCTTCAAGGTGGCTGGCGGGCTGTGCCGAGACCCCTACGGGGGATTCTTGAAAACAAAAAAAAAGCCAGACATTCGGCACGCCGTGCACCTCCGTGGCAAGACCAGGGGGCGGCGGATCGAAGACGCCTACGGCAAATCACCGCCGCCCCTTGCCTTTTTGGATACGCCTATGTGGCCGAACGTATGAACAAAGTTTGGCCACGCTATTGGACCATGCGTTCCCCCAGCGGTTGTGAAAACCCTTCGGGGAACACGTTGGGGAGGAAGAGGAGGATGTGGAGTTTGTTTGAAAAGAACCAACAAACCCAGACGTCTGGCACGCCCTGCACCCCTGTGGCAAGCCACAGGGGGCGGCGGATCTATCGAAGACGCCTACGGCGAATCACCGCCGCCCCCTGCCTTTTTGGAAGCGCCTATGTGGCCGAACGTTGAGGCCAGACCTGCCAAGCTATCGGACCACGTGTTCCCCGAATCGGTTTGGAAAGCCTTCGGGGAACACGTGGGCATCTTGAAGGTCATCTTGGCCGTCTTGGAGGCCTCTTGGGCAAGCTTTGGGCGATCTTTGGGGCTTTTTGGGCCGTCTCGGGCCAGCTTCGAGCCAACTTCGGCCATCTTGGTGGGTTCCTGGCACGTCTGAAGCCGTCGGAAGCCGTTTGGGGGGCCTCTATGGGCCGACTTGGGGCCCGCTTGGAATGCTCCAGGGCCGTCTTGGAGGCCATCTTGGGCGTCTGGGAGGCCATCTTGGGCGTGTTGGAGGCCTCTTGGGCCCTCTTGGGGCCCTCTAGGGGCCATCTGGGAGGCCACTTGGGCCATCATGGGGCTCTCTTGGGGGCCTCTTGGGCGATCTTGGGGGCTTCTTGGGCCGTCTTGAGCCGTCGGAGAGCCGAAAAGGCGCAAATGCCAAAATCCTTCAAAAACCAAAGGAAAATCAATGATTTTGGCCTCTTCGGACTCTCCTGGAGGACCTCTTGGAGGCCTCTTGGGCCGTCTGGGAGGCCTCTGGGGGGCCTCTTGGGCCGTCTTGGGCCGTCTTGGACTCTCTTGGGCCGTTTTGGAGGCCGTCTTGGACCATCTCGGGCGGACTTGGAGGCCATCTTGGGCCATCTTCGCGATTTGTTGAGGATGTCCCGAGCGAAACGGCCGTTTTTGGGCATTGACAGACGCATTTTGGGAAATTTACGGGTGGCCGGCGGGACGGGCCGAAGCCCACTGGGGAGTTCTTTTAGAAAAAGAACCAAAACCAAAACCTGAATCATCCAGCACGCCGTGCACCCCTGCAAGCAGGGGGCGGCGGATTACTGGGCTTCGGCCCATTCGGCCACCGCGTCTGGGTTGTAGGTCAGAGGCCTCTCGGGGCACCCTCAGCCCGTTTTGAGGCGCTCGTGGCTCCGAATAGGGCAATAGGGGAGCGCAGGGGATCCGCGGGATGCAGGCTGGGAGCCGAGGACGCATTTTGAAGTTGGGGTCCAGGCCGCCCGTAAGTCGCAATCTGGACGACTGAGGATTGATGATTAGAAAAGACCCGAGGGCACTGTAACTCGTGCATCGCGGCACGGTGGGGGACCCTTCAGTTGGCTTCGCCTTTGTGGGTCTCGTGGGAGGCCTCAGTGCCATCGCTGGATCCGCCTCGAGCTTCTGGCCAGACAGCACCCCTTTAGAGGTCCAGGCAGTAGCAGTATCCCTGAGATCCGACGTGGCGAAAATTACAACATCGCGGCAAATCACGCGTGGAGCCCTGGACCAAATCTTTCTGTTGCATTTTTTGAGCCGGACCGATCTGTCGTGGCCCCCGGGCCAGAAGCCAGGCGAACGCGCCCCGTGTGAAAAAACGGCACCGCCCGGATCTGAGGGTCAGTACCTCTTGGCTACTCCTCTTCTTCTATTCCTTCTCCTTATACATAACTCCCTGTCGCACCCCGAGACCAGTTTTTAGGGCGGGCCGGGCGTTTCGCCTGAGACTTCCTTACCATTTATGATTCTGAAGTTCAAAAAGCGACAGCAGCTTCACAGATGGAGGGCGGGCCGTTTTCAAAGTGTGGCTCTCGCCTTAGCGCCGCGCGCATTCTTTTTGAACTATTGCAGCAGTTTCACGGATTGAGGGCGGGTGGTTTTCAAAATGTGGCTCTCGCCTTAGCGCCGCGCACATTCGTTTTTTCTTATTGCAAGAGTTTCACGGATTGAGGGCGGTTACGGATTCCCATGATCAGCGTAAAAGAAAGGGCGTTTCGGAAGGAGCATGCGGGCGCAACAGTTATGTTGATTCGTTGTGTTGAAGTCCCAAACATGGCGGTCTGGCACGGCTCAGGATCGTCCAGACGCAGAAGTCAGGTTGATATGTGGCGTTGAAATCCCGAGAACAATGTTTTGGCACGTTTCAAGATCTTCGACCTGATGTCTTCCAACGAGGCAGTTCCCTCAATGGAAAAGAACCGTTGTAGGGGCCTATGAAGAGAAAGCTTGTAGGGATGGTTGATTCCAACATCGTTGATGACTCTTGCGTTTCCACTGGTCTTCCTCCTCCTCCCCCTCCCCCTCCTCCTCCTCCTCCTCCTCCTCCTCCTCTCCTCTCCTCCTCCTCCTCCTCCTCCTCCTCCTCCTCCTCCTCCTCCTCCTCCTCCCTCCTCCTCCTCCTCCTCCTCCTCCTCCTCCTCCTCCTCCTCCTCCTCCTCCTCCTCCTCCTCCTCCTCCTCCTCCTCCTCCTCCTCCTCCTCCTCCTCCTCCTCCCTCCTCCTCCTCCTCCTGCTGCTGCTCCTCCTCCTCCCCCAGGCCCACCTGGTGGTGCGGGCGGAGGGGGACTCGGCGCTGCCCGGCGAGTGGCTGTCCGCCGACGAGTTCGCCGCGCGGGCCAGCTGGCTCCACGACGCCGCCGCCGCGGGCGGCGGCGGCTGCGCCTGGTCCGCCTCGGCCGCGGCCTTGGGTGTGCCCGAGGAGGGGGAGGTCAGGGGCGCCCCAACCAGCCCCTAGCAAACCGTCCCCTTCTGCGACGCCCCCCTCGCCTCGCCAAGACGTGTGCATGCCAGAGGGGAGCTCGGATGGCGAGACGGACGTCACGGAAGGGAATGGTTTGCTAGGAGTCGGTTAGGCCGCGCCCGAGCAGGGGGCGGAGCTGGCGCCGCTGCGGCGGGAGCTGGCCGCGGCGCGCGCGGAGCTGGAGCTGGCGAGGGCCGAGATGCAGGAGCAGGAGCTCCTCGTCGAGCAGGCGCGCGGGGACGGCGCGGAGCCGGCGCTGTCGCCCTGTGGAGGAGATCGAGGATCTGCGCGGTCAAAGTGGGTGCGGGAAGGATGGCGACGAAGGCCGACAGCACTGTCTTTTTGTTTTGAACAGGGCTCGATGTCGCCGTGGACGTTGTCCTGTCCGGTCGAGACTAGGTGTCGCCTCCTGCCCCAAGGCGGCCGCTCTCGGTTTGGGATAGCGGCATCGTGCCCATGTTCTGCGTTTCCGCTTCGGGCGTCCCACAGAGAAGCAAGGAGTTCCATTCGCTTTGTATATCTTTCGACGGTCCGCGCGCACTCTTTGATTTGCGCGGGGGCCCCCTTGGCTGCGCCTCTGGCGTCTCCCCTGGCGCTTTCCACGCGCCACGGAAGGGGGGCTGTAGCGCCGATGCATACCATCCGCGCGGAGCTTCGCAGTGTTATGTCGTTGCCGGTCTTGTTTTTGCTTTCTTCCTCAGGAGAGAGATGCGCGGAGGAGTGCCCTGGCATGGAGGAGCCGCCCGGCAGCTCCGAGGGCTGCCGCAAGGAGGCCCTCGAGGCCCTGGATGGGCTCTGGGCGGTGATCGAGAACGCCGGGGCACGACGGCGCCAGTTGCGAGCCTCCTGAAAAAAGGGTGCACGCCAGAGCAAAGACGCCAACGCCACCGCATTGCAGGCATGGATTCACCAGCTCGGGCCGCCCGTGCGATGCTGCTGCTGTTGCTGCTGCTGCCGGTGCTGCTTCCGTCTTGGCAGTGGGCATCAGATACGAGGATTATGTCGGGCGCTGTCCCTCAGCAGGAGGACATTCAAAAATAGTCAAACATAGTCTGGGGACGATTTGCTGACAATTTTCTTGACAGTTTTTGAATTTGTTTTGATTACATGTCCTCCTTCTTCCAAAGCCGGCCTGCAAGGGGACACGCCCGACCGAGCACGAGGAGCAGGCCTGCCAGCGCGTGCTCCGCGATAGTGTCTCTGATCTCCCGCTGCGGCCGCGGAGCCCTTGGGCTGAAAATCTGGCGCGTGCCTCTGCAGGAGGCATGTCCAACAATAGTTCAAGAATAGCCTGGGGACGATTTTTCGGTTGTTTTGGAATTATTGTTTGGCACGATGTTTCTTTCAAGAATGGTCTGGGGACGAGTTTTCTTTTTGGGTAAGTTAAGAAAAGCCTGGGGATGATTGTTCGACTCTTTTGGAATATGATTTGGCTTTTTTTGTGTATTTTTCTTTTCGTCCAGGATCCGTCTGTAGGGTGACGTGCCCGACCTAGCCTTGGGCTTGGGCACATCAGGGTCGACGATGCCTTGCGCCCGGCAGTGGAGGCCCATGCCAAGAGACACCCTGCTTGCGTCCAGGGTGCCCTGGGCTTCATGGGCTTCGATTAAGTCGGGCCTGTCCTCCTACAGGGGGATTTTCGACGAACAACAAAAAATACCCCAAAAGATGCTCAAAACATAATCCAAAAATAGCCTGGGGACTATTTGTTTCCCTACCTAGGCTCTGCCTAGAAGGGTTCTTACTCTCTAGCTTAAAGGGGCCGAAAAGTGGAAAGGGCCCCGGGCGGTTCCCCCAGTCCCCTGGCAGCGGTTCCCCCAGTCCCCTGGGAGCTTTAGCTTTATCTTTAGCTTTAGCTTTAGCTTTAGCTTAGCTTTAGCTTAGCTTTAGCTTGGCTGTAGCTTAGCTGTAGCTTAGCTTTAGCTTAGCGTTTCGCTTAGCTTTTCGCTTAGCGTTTAGCTTAGCTTTAGCTTAGCTTTAGCTTAGCTTTAGCTTAGCTTTAGCTTAGCTGTAGCTTAGCTGTAGCTTAGCTTTAGCTTAGCTTTAGCTTAGCTTTAGCTTAGCTTTAGCTTAGCTGTAGCTTAGCTTTAGCTTGGCTGTTGCTCAGCTTTAGCTTAGCTTTAGTTTAGCTGTAGCTTAGCTTTAGCTTAGCTTTAGCTTAATTTTAGCTTAGCTGTGGCTTAGCTTTCGTTTAGCTGTAGCTTAGCTTTAGCTTAGCTTTAGCTCAGCTTTAGCTTAGCGTTAATGTTACTACTAATGCTGCTTTCCTAGGGGTTCCAACTCCTAGGTAGGGTCGCACTGGGATAATGAATATTTGTTGGCCCTCTCAGGATATTTCCCTACCTAGGCTCTGCCTAGAAGGGTTCTTACTCTCTAGCTTAAAGGGGCCGAAAAGTGGAAAGCGCCCCGGGCGGTTCCCCCAGTCCCCTGGGAGCCAAGCAAAAGCAACAGCAAAGGTAAAAACAAACGCGCGGTTCCCCCAGTTGCGCTCCCTGGGTGCCAAGCAAAAGCAAAAGCAAAGGCAAAAGTGAAGGCAAAAGCGAAGGCAAAGCAAAAGCATAGCATAGCACAGCATAGCATAGCATAGCGCAGCATAGCATAGCGCAGCATAGCACAGCGCAGCATAGCATAGCATAGCACAGCCTAGCCTAGCCTAGCCCAGCATAGCATTGCGCAGCATAGCATAGCATAGCATAGCATAGCAGAGCAGAGCATAGCATAGCATAGCAACACATAGCATAGCGCAACACAGCATCCACTACTGCTGCTGCTGCTATATATATATATGTACTATATAGATATGTGTGTGCGCACGTATGTTCCATGCTACTACTACCGCTACGGTTACAACTACGACGATGAGGAGAAGGAGGAGGACGGCGTTTACCGCTCCTAGTAATGTTGCTTTCCTAGAGGCTCCAACTTCTAGGTAGGGCCGCACTGGGATAATTTCAGGGTATTTCCCTACCTAGGCTCTGCCTAGAGGGTTCTTACTCTCTTAGCTTAAAGGGGCCGGGCAGTGCAAAGCGCCCTGGGCGGTTCCCCCAGTCCCCGCCCCGCGGTTCCCCCAGTTGCGCCCCCTGGGTTCACCCAGCTTAGCTTAGCTTAGCTTTGCTTAGCTTATCTCATATTAGTTTAGCTTAGCTTAGCTTAGCTTAGCTATGCCTAGTCTAGCTTAGCTTAGCTTAGCTTAGCTTATATCATCTTAGCTTAGCTTAGCTTAGCTCGGCTTAGCTTAGCTTAGCTTAGCTTATCCTAGCCTAGTTTAGCTTAGCTTTAGCTTAGCTTTAGCTTAGCTTTAGCTTAGCTTCAGCTTAGTTGTAGCTTGGCTTAGCTTAGCTTTACCCTAGATTTAGCTTAGTTTTAGCTTAACTTCAGCTTCGTTTTGCCTTAGTTTTAGTCTTAGCTTCGCTTTAGCCCAGCTTTAGCTTAGCTTTAGTTTAGCTTTATATTAGCTTCAGTTTAGCCTCAGTTTAGCTTTAGCTTAGCTTTAGCTTAGCTTTAGCTTAGCTTTAGCTTAGCTTTAGCTTAGCTTTAGCTTAGCTTTAGCTTAGCTTTAGCTTACCTGTAGCTTAGCTGTAGCTTAGCTTTAGCTTAGCTTCAGTTTAGCTTTACTGTTACTACTAATGCTGCTTTCCCAGGGGCTCCAACTCCTAGGTAGGGTCGCACTGGGATCATTTTTTAAATTTTTCGTCGAACCCCCTGTAGGGGGACACGCCCGACATAAGGTTTCGATGGTTTTGCCATGGAAAGCGTGACGTTCCCACACCAGCAGTCAGCGGACGTCCGGGGGCCTCAGGCTCGGGTGTCCTGCGGAGGGTTTCCTGTGGACTGGCCTCCGCTGCAGAGGGGTTCTGGCAGCAAGAGCCCTCGCCGTGCCTGCCGCCACTGCTGCTGCGGTTGCTTCTGGCTTCCCGCGGGCGTAAGGTTCAGTCTGGCGTGTCCCTCTACAGGGCGAATATCCAAAGCTAGTCACAAAGTGGCACAGGGTCGATGGTTTAACCATTTCTGACCCTCTTGGGGGTCCGTTTGGAGCATGTTTTATTTGTTCGCTCTAAATCCGCCTGTAGGAGGACACTCCCGACCTGAGCGCAAGGGAAGGGGGGGCCACGCGACGAATTGGGAGGGGGGCGGGTCAGCGCGGTCCTGGGGAGGCGGCGGCCCGCCACGAGACGCCCACAGAGTCGTGCCGACCTGCCCTCGGGTAGAAGACGTAGTGCCACGAGGCACATGGCTCACGCAACTCCCCCTCCTCCTCCTCCTCCCCCTCCCCCTCCTCCTCCTCCTCCTCCTGCTCCTCCTCCTGCTCCTCCTCCTGCTCCCCCTCCTCCTCCCCCTCCTCCTCCCCCTTCTCCTCCTCCTCCTCCGCCTCTTCCTCCTCCTCCTCCTCCTCCTCTTCCTTCTCCTCCTCCTCCTCCTCCTCCTCCTCTTCCTCCTCCTCTTCCTCCTCCTCCTCCCCCACCTCCTTCTCCCATCCATGCATCCGACGGCGTTTTCCTGCTTCGTCGTTCCATCCGCGGGCCCCTGCCTTGCCCAGGAGTGGTTCCTCGTCCCGGAGCCGTTTCGGAGGCCCCCCCCCCGAGGCTGAAGCCCAGGAAGGACGCCGGGTTCGAAGACTTTACTGCTCTGGAAGTCCAAGGGCGCGCAGGTCGAGCACTCACGCCAGACTCGGCCGTTTTTTCTGCGGCCTGGGGGGCCCAGGCACGGGCGAGCCCCTGGAGGTCGACATCGTGGATTGGCGGCGAGCGAGGGGGGGGGGCAGTGAGAAGGAGAGGGCCTTCTCAGAAGGCGGCGGGGCCTCTCAGAAAGCACTCGGCCTTCTGAGAGGTTTCCTGTATCTTCGGGGAGGGCCGGTGGACTTCCGAGTCTTCTGAGAAAGCCCGCCCCTTCTCAATTCCCCCCCGGGCCGTCGAGAGGACCCAGCCAGCCGCAGCGGTTCTTGCTCAGGGCGTCGGAGTCGCCAGGAGCTCGCGGCGACTCCCACGTCTTGAGCAGGAACCGCTCGGGCCCGCTGTGTCCACGAGGTCGGGACCCCCTCGAGACCTCACTGAGCCGAGGGGGTCCCGAGGCGAGCGGGCCCGAGGCCCCCGGGCCTTCCCCAGGGCCGGCCCGTCAACCCTCCACCCTGGGCTGCCCTCGGAGCCCGAAGCGGCCCCCCAGAGGCCGGGAGCGGGTGCGTCCCAGAGCTCGGGCGGCCGTCCAGGGGGGGGGGCCTAAATCAAGCAGTGGCGCGGCGTCCCGGCTTGCCGATGGGCCCACCAGAGCATGCTCTCAGAACCTCTTGTGGTTTGCGCGAGACGTTCTCAGAACAGTTCTGGCTGAGGCCGTCTTGCCTTAAGCCGTCGGGCCCATGTTCTGAGAGCACTGCTTCTGTTCTGAGAACGTGTCGGGGTTCGAGGAACAGGCCCTGGTGGGTCTACAAGAATGCCGGTCGGTCCCTGCTCAAGTTGAGTAAGCTGGGGCGGGGGTGTGAAGAAGGGGCCCCACGTGGGGCCCTGGGGGCCCCTTTCGGGGCCTCAGCGGGCCCCTACGGGGGCCCCTCTCTTCGCCCCCCCCCCCCCCCCTGATGAGGTCGCCCCCCCCCTTGCAGAGCCTCGGCACTGGCACCCATTACGGGCGGCCCGGATCAGCAGCTCGACCCTGCCAGATCAAGGGTACCCTCGTGCCCTGTGCCTCGCGACCGACGCCTCCTGCGCTCCCGTGGCCATGCGGCCCTCTCGGAAGGGCCTCGCGTCTTCGCGCGTGCCCTGCCCCATCGAGTCCGCGCCTCACGACCTGAGCATCGCAACGGCACGCCCTCGACTCCGGGCGCGTGCACACGCACACCGCGCACTGCGCGCTCCGTGCGCTGCGCGCCCGCCCCCCCCCCTCCGACGCGCCCGCCTCGCCGAGGCGGCGCCCGCCCGCCCGCCCTCCGGCGGCGGCCGCCCGGCCACGGCCGCCCGGCTCGACGGCCGCCCGGCCTCTCGGGCCGGGGAGCGGCCCTCGGGCTTGGCATGAGCCTGTTTTTTTCTTGGATTCGGGCAAGTTTGCTTGCATGGCGTTCGGGCCCCCCCCCCCCCCCCCCCCTCGCCCCTCTTCAAGCGGATACCAGCGTGCAAGTGCCTTTCGATTTGCGTGATTTCCGCGCCCCCCCCCCCAGGCTGCTTCAGGCTCAGCCCCACCCCCCCCCGTCCATGCAAGGAAACTTGCCAGAGTCTCAAAAAAACAGGCTCCATCGCTCGGACGTGTGCATTCTTTCCCGGCGAGAGAACCCTCGAGGACCACCCTGGACCCTCGAGCAAACAAAAGCACGCACGACACCGACGAGTGCACGGAACCGGACGTCCGAGCGACGGCAAGCGGGCCACGCTCCTCGGCGGCCTCTGGCGGCCCTCGGCCCGGCGAGCGGGCGCCGAGCCCCCGCCAGCGGGAGCGCCGTCTCGGCCGCGCGCGCGGCCGCCGAGGAGCGGCCCGAGGCGGGGGCACCGCCCATCGAGCCGCCGAGGGCCCGGGGTCCCCGAGCGATCGATCGACCTGGTTCGTGGACTGAGCATTTGGGGTGGAGGGCTCGGGGTGAAGTCCACATGGGCTTTTGGGCCTCGAGAGTCAATCCGTCCTGTGATTCACCTTTTGCAGATTCGGGCCCGGAACACCCATCGCAGCGGCATTTCAGATTTCACCCTTTGCCCTCCACCCAAAGAAAATGCTCGGGTAGAGGGCCTGCACCTGAAGTTGTGGAAGCCGATTTACTGGAGAGGGAGCGTGCCGCCAAATAGTTTCCAGGTGTTCCAACAAGTGCTTCAAACGTGTGTTAAGTATGTAAAAACATGGTTGAACCATGTTTTAAATATGTAGAAACATGTTTATGACATGTTTTACACATTTTGAACGCATGTTTAACTCAATGATCGGACTGTTAGGGTGTCCATTGTCATGGCATCCACAAATCTGAAGCATCTTCTCGTGGTTCGACACTTTTGGGGGTCGCATGACGAGTTGCGGAAGCGCTGTCGATGGAATTGCGCCACGGCGGCATGCGGACCACGGGAAGCGCGCGCGCATGACAAGAAGCACCCTGCTCGCCTCCAGGGAGCCCCTGGGCTTCCTGTGTCTCGATGGTCCTGCCAAGCATGGGAAGCGTCACGCTCCCACACCAGAAATCCATCGACGTCCTGCGGTCTCAGGGTTGGGCTTCTTGTGGAAGGTTTCTTGTGGTGGAGCTCCTGCTGTGGGCGAACCCAGTCAACCCGCGTAGTGAGGATGATCGACATCCGAGGGGTACCCTTGCGTCCTTTCCTCATCGGTTATCTTCCGCCCATCCTCAACCACTTTCGATGGCCAGTCCCACTCGAAGAGCCTCGGCATGGGCGTCGAAGGCCCTTGCACCCGAACCGCGCATCCTTATGATACGGAATGATCGTACCTCTCTCACGTTCTAGCCACAAGCGTCTACGGGCACATGGCTTGTCGTCGCATCTGTAGACGCGTTTTCGGGGTGGATGCGCCCACAGACAACGCGGCCGTTGCGTTGGTCGCGCTGCAAGGTCGGAGAAAGGGCAGATCCGTCTACGGTACGCCCCTCCTCCTCCTCCCCCTCCTCCCCCTCCTCCTCCCCCTCCTCCTCCTCCTCCCTCCTCCTCCTCCTCCTCCTCCTCCTCCCTCCTCCTCCTCCTCCTCCTCCTCCTCCTCCTCCTCCTCCTCCTCCTCGGGCCTGGCACAGTACTCCCAGGCTTGGCCACCCGCGGGGCGCGAAGCCCATCGCGTGGCGCGCGCCGCGGTCTGGGCCGGAGCGCCCGCCCTTCTCTCTGTGAGGGCGGCGCGGGGGCGCGCAGGCGCGAAGCTCCTCGCGAATCGCGGGGCGCGGTGAGCAGCGTCCAGAGGCCTGGATCGATGGACGTTGGGGATGAGGAGGAGGAAGAGGAGGAGGAGGAGGAGGAGGAGGAGGAGGAGGAGGAGGAGGAGGAGGAGGGAGGAGGGAGGAGGAGGAGGAGGAGGAGGAGGAGGAGGAGGAGGAGGAGGAGAGGAGGAGAGGAGGAGGAGGAGGAGGAGTGGGAGGAGGAGGAGGAGGAGGAGAGGAAGAGGAGGAGGAGGAGATGGAGTTCGAGGCCCCCTCCCTCCCCAAGAAAGGATGCAGAAGCAGATGGACCTCCTCGGCTCGCAGCTACGCGGCGTGGGCGCCGGCAGCCCCTGGACGCTCTGGACCTCGTGCCGCCTGCCCGGGACGTCGCGCCCCTCAGCGGCCGTGGCCGGCCGCGGAGCGGGATGGCCTCGGCGTCCTGGCCTCGCCGGCGGGGCGCAGGAGGAGGGGGAGGAGGAGGAGGAGGAGGAGGAGGAGGAGGAGGAGGAGGAGGAGGAGGAGGAGGAGGAGGAGGAGGATTCGGTCGGGCATGTCCCCCTACAGGCAGATTTTCGACGAAGAGTGAAACAGGCTCACCCAAATATGCAAACATGATCAACACAAATACGCCAAGCATCGTCCGCTCACTGACTATCTGTTGTCTAACTATGTTTGAAGATCCCTCCTGTAGAGGGACACGCCCGACTTTTCTCGAGGAGGATCGGGGATCGGAGAGGATCGGGGAGGCTCGGGGATGGGGGGATCGGGTGGATCGAGGAGGATCGGGGAGGAGGGCCGAGGGGGATCGAGGGGGATCGGGGAGGGCCGAGGGTCCGATGACGATGGTGGTGGTGACGCTAACGCTGATGATGGTGCCGACGGGGATGCTGCTGCTGCTGATGCTGATGATGCTGCTGATGCTGCTGCTGATGCTGCTGCTGATGCTGATGATGATGATGCTGATAATGATGCTGATACTGATGACGAGGATGCTTACGATGCTGCTATTGATACTGATGATGCGGATGATGATGATGATGATGATGATGATGATGATGATGATGATGATGATGATGATGATGATGATGATGATGATGATGATGATGCCGAGGACGATGCCGACGATGCTGATGAGGTTTATTTCGATGACTGTTGTGATGAGGAGGGCGATGATGAAGATTGTGAGGAAGGTGGTGGTGATGATGATGGCGGTGATGCACATGGCGATGATGCGGCCGACGATTATGGTGATGGTGATGAGAGTGATTACTTCGATGATGGTGATGACGATGGTGGTGACGATGATGGCAGTGGTGCTGTTGATGATGAGGCCGATGATGATGGTGCCGATGACGGTTGCGGTGGCGATGGCGATGGTTTTGGTGATGGTGTTACTGCTGCTGGTGATGATGATGTTGAAGATGATGATGCTGATGCTGATGTTGCTGCTGCTGCTGCTGCTGCTGCTGCTGCTGCTGATGATGATGATGATGATGATGATGATGATGATGATGATGATGATGATGATGATGATGATGATGATGATGATGATGATAGTGGTGATGATGATGAGACCGACGGCAATGGTGATCGGGACGGCGATAGCGATCGGGACGATTATGGTGGTGACGATAGTGGAAGAGGAGGAGGAGGAGGAGGTTGAGATGGAATAGTATGGGAAAAGGGGCATAAGGAAGAGGCGGAGGATGTGGAGCAACTCTACGATGAGCTAGAAGGAGAAGCACATACTGCCTGCAAGCGTGGGTCCCAAAATAGTTATCATTGCACCGTAGATGCGAGAACTATGTGGTGCAGTCTATGCGGCGCATGTAAGCCAGGCGGCGCAGGCACTGCGGTGCACCTCGTGCGATGCAACCTGTGTGATGCACGCCATGTGGTGCACGCCATGTGGTGCAAGCTGTGTGCTGCAAGCCCTGCGGGCGCCCCTGGGCGGCCACGAGACGCCCACGGGCGGCAACCCGCAGCGCCTTTGGCGAGGCCTCGGCACCCCCGCCCACCGCACGCGGCGCCCACGAGGCGCGCAGGGGCGACAACCCACCGGGCACCCGGCGAGGTCTCGGCACGCCCGCTCCGCGGACGGGGCCCCCACGCGGCACGGGCGGCAGGCGACGGGGCGACGGGAGAATTCTCGGCACGCCCACCCCGCGAGCGGGGCGCACACGCGGCGCGCACGGGCGGCAGCCGACGGGGCGCGGCAGCCGACGGGGCCCCCGGCGAGCCCTCGGCGCACCCGCGCAGCGCACGGGGCGCCCGCGAGGCGCCCGCGAGCGGCCATCGGCAGCAACGCTCCGCAACCTCGACACACCCCCGAGGAGGATGGGAGGAGGAGGAGGAGGAGGAGGAGGAGGAGGAGGAGGAGGAGGAGGAGGAGGAGGAGGAGGAGGAGGAGGAGGAGGGGGAGGGGGAAGAGGAGGAGGAGGAGGAGGAGGAGGAGGGAGAGGGAGGGGAGAAGGAGGAGCAAACCCGAGCAAACCCAACATGCACCAACTGGGCTGCAGTGGTTACCCCCTCGCGCCCCAAGTCTCTTCGCCAGGAATCCACGTGCGCCATCTTTTCCACTTCAAAAAGCACCCTCTTGACCGATCAGCACCATGTGGGCTTGCCAGTCAGGCGACGGTCCCGTGTTGATGCAGGAACGTGTCTGTATCCTCCTCGCGGTCAACGTGGAACGCGAGGTGAGATCCACCGGCCATATCCACGAAATAGTTGCACGACGTTATATGTTTGGTCATGCGCTTCGCGGAAGTCATGAAACGAGGACCACATTTTGAACTTGAGCCGCCGTCCGCCTGTCCAGCTTTTGCATATGTTCACGTTTCTGCCTGTCAGACTTGAGGAAGCCTGAAGAAATAGCTTGATTTGGAAGAGGAGCAGTCCTGCATCCCTGTAGCTGTCGCAATCTTTTACGGAGACTGTGCCCGGCGCTGGCTTTGGGATCCCCACTTTGAAAGAGATCGTCCCTCCACACCTGTGGCTGTTGCAGGCTCTTGCGACGACTGTGCGCGGCGCTGAGACGAGCGTCCCACTTTGAACAGGAACCTCCTTCCATCCTTGTAGTTGCTGCAGACTGTTAGGACGAATGAGCATGGCGCTGAGATGAGCGTCCCACTTGGAAGGCCACCCCATTAATCCTGGTAGCCGTTGCAAGCTCTACGACGACGAATGAGCACGGCGCTAATGCGAAAGGCCCACTTTGCAGACCACCCGTCCATCGTTAGAAGTGCTGCAAGCTTTTCAGGCGAATGCGCGCGATTCTAAGGCGAGATCCCCACCCAGAAAAACACGCCTCTATTACCCTTCGAGTTGCGTCAAGCTTTTAAGGCGAAAGTGCGCGGCGCTAAGGCGAGAGCTTCATCATGAGAACGGTCCTCCTTCATCCATGTACAGTTTGCCAACTTCAAGCTTACGGGTCGCCACCATCGTCGTTGTCGTCGTTGTTGTTGTCGTCATCATCATCACTATCATCGTCGCCGGCGTTGTCGTTGGCGTCATCGTCATCGTCATCGTCATCATCATCAACATCATCATTGCCATCGTCATCAGCATCATCATCGTCATCATCTTCATCATACTAAGCTTCATCACCATCGCCACCACCACCACCACAACCACCTCATCCATCATGACAACCACCACCATCATCATCGCAATCGTCACTACCACCACCATACTCCTGACCGTTCTCCTGGTCATCTTCCCGATCACCACCCTCGCCGTTCACGATCATCAGCACCACGCATCACCTGCACCTTCACCCTCACCGCCACCCTCCTCCTCCTCCTCCTCCTCCTCCTCCTCCTCCTCCTCCTCCTCCTCCTCTTTCTCCTCCTCCTCCTCCTCCTCCTCCTGCCCTGCTCCCTCCTCCCGCGGGGCTCCGGAGGGCGAGCCAGGGTCCAGCAGGGTCTCTGCCCTCGCGCGCCTCGCGCGCCCTGCTCAGAAACGGGCACGGGCGCAACCCGCTCCTCCGCGCGAGCCCGCGCCGGGCGCCTCGCGCACCCGCTCGCCCTCCCGCGGGGCTCGTCACGATATGTTCCGCGACGCGGATGTGTCCCGGGAGGTCTCGACCCCTTGCCGTGGAGCGGCGCCCCATCCCGAGCCGAGCTTGACGGTCCCAGGGCCCAGTGAGGGCCTCCTCCTCTTCCTCCTCCTCCTCCTCCTTCCTCCTCTCCTGCTCCTCCTCCTCCTCCTCCCTCCTGCTCCTCCTCCTCCTCCTCCTCCTCCCCCTCCTCCTCCTCCTCCTCCTCTTCCTCCTCCTCCTCCTCCTCCTCCTCCTCCTCTTCCTCCTCCTCCTCCCCCTCCCTCTCCTCCCCCCTCCTCCTCCTCCTCCTCCTCCGCCTCCTCCTCCTCCTCCTCCTCCTGCTCCCCCCTCCTGAAGCAGGCAAGCTGTCAGGGATGCCCCCGCCCGTTTTCCCGCAGCCTCTGCGGGTGAGGGCGACGCGGGCGATGGCGTCTGCATGCGGCGATGACGCGCCAGCGACGCCGGCGAAGGCGTTCAAGGTTGAATTCCGCACGATCGAGCGGCGCGGAAGCCTCGAGGGGCATGGTAACGCCGCAGGACCCGACGGGATTCAACCTTGCACGACCAGGGCCGCGATCGGTTCAAGGTTGAACGATCGACGCGGTGTCAAAAATCTTTGCGCGCGCCGACGCCGCACGAACCTACCGTTGCTCGTGGGCGAGCCCGGGGGGAAAGTGAGAAGGGGCGGGCCTCTCAGAAGGCCCGCGCGCCTTCTGAAAAGTTTCCGAAGACACAAGGGAACCTTCGAACAAGGCTGGAGGGCTTCTGAGAAGTCCCGCCGCCTTCCAAGAAGGCCTTCTCCTTCTCGGTTCCCCCCTTCGCTCGCCGCCGAGTAGCGAAACAACTGGCTTCACGACTCGTCATGGTGATCGTTTTCTTATTCGTTGTTTTGCCGATCGGCGCGGGCCCTCGCACCCCTCCTCCCCCCCCATGGAGCAGATCTTGGCTGTTTTTGGCGCCTGCTTCGAGCAGGTGGAGCCTCCCCCACAGGACGCACTGCTGCAAACCGTCGCAGCAAGCAGAGGGCCGGAGCCAGGCCCCCCCCCGCTCCCGCACCCGGCTGCCGTCCATCTATGGCAATCCATGAGTTCCCCATAATCTGGTCATCTCCAACGGCGAATCATGGGAAACCCAGGCGCGAGCCGCAGCTGCGGCTGCGGCTGCGGCTGCGGCTGCGGGCTGCGGCTGCTGCGGCGAGCGGGATCCGGCTTCCGAGTTCTGGGAAGCCCACGGGTCGCCGCAGGCCGAGACGCCGACTGGGCGAGCGCTCGCGTGACTCCATGGGGGCGGTCTGGGGCCGCGCCTCCCCGCGACCCGCCCCGCATCTCGCGCGGCCCGCGTCGGCCTATGGCCCGCGCGATATGCGCCCCCCCCCCCCCCGCGCGCGGCCGAGGCCCTACCAGATGTCCGCGCGGTACCAGGCGCGCTCTCGCGGGCGCGGGGCGCCTCCTCCCGCCGGGCCCTCGGGGTGGGCAGTCGGCCACCCGCGGAGGGGTGTCGAGCCGGGCACGTCGGTCTGGTGGCGACTTGTTGCTTTGTTGTGACCGTTTTCGGGCATGTGTTCACTATTCGCCGCTGTTCCGCAGAACCCGCCTGTGGGAGGACGTGCCCGACCTGAGGGTACAGCCGGACCGAGGTACAAGATCGAGGTCGGCTCGGGGAGGGTGCCTTGACATGTTCTTCGCGCTTGTTGGATGTTCTTGCGTATCCTGTTCTCTCCAGTTCGGGCCGGCGGAGGGTTGAGGGATGTTCCTCTGCACCAGGTCCGGCTGTGGGGGGAGGGGGGAAGGCTTCTTAGAAGCACCCCTGCTTCTTGGAAGGCGCGGGCCTTGTCTGCAGATGTAGGACCAGCGCCTTCTGAGAAGCGGCCTCCCTCAGACGACGGCGATCGCCATCGCTGGCCGCTGACTGCTGCCAGAAGCGGGGCGGAGTGGAGAGGCCCGGCCCTTCCCCGAGGATCGATGCTGGCGGATCGAGGATGCAGGAGGAGGGATCGAGGGCGTCGGGGGTAGGAGCGAGGGTGGGCTTGTGCAGAGTCAAGGCATTCGGAGGCGGGACGGAGGATGCAGGAGGTGAGATCGAGGAGCGACGGGCGGGGGATGCCGTGCGGACGCGGCCGCAAGAAGCCCTCGCAAGAGGCCCTGCCCTGAAACCGCGCGCGCGAGATGCACGCGGGGGAAACCCAGAGTGCTCCAGATTTCGTAATAAAGGGAGGGGGGTCTCATTTCGGGGGGGGGGTCTCTTCCAGGCTATCTTGGAGGGCCGGGGGGGTCTGGGGACGATGTTTTGGAGGGTTCTCCCACGGGGGGGGGGTCTGAAATGGCTTGTCTTGGAGGGTCCAGACCCCCTCCCTTTTATTACGAAATCTGGAGTACCCTGAACGCACCAGCTCCTTCCAACGGCCGCTGGAAGTCGCCGCGCAGCGCGCGGAGCGAATGCAGCACGGGGTCGCAGCCGATGGTTTCTCGATGCGCGTGCCCACAGTGGAGGACCGAGGCGTTCGGATGCAGGATCGAGGATGCAGTGTGGACAATCGAGGGTGTCGGATGGAGGAAGGGCGATGCAGAATCTGAAGAAGAAAAAAATCAGGATGCAGGATTCGAAGATGCAGGATTCGAGGGGGAATGGAGGCTCGAGGATGCAGGACGCGAAGGAGAAAATTGGGCATGGCCATTCAACTTTCGGCGCTCCTTGCGGATAACGGAAAGAGCGAGGTACGAGTGATGACGTTCTGGTGTGGGCGAAGCCCTAAAGGGAGGGGTTCCAGGGGAGGGGCGAAGCGTGCGGACCTGCGTGTTAATGGCCGTTTTCGGGTTTTCCTTAGGGTTTTTGCATGTTTTCGGGTTCCCCCCCCAAGACGGCCCAAGAGCGCTCCAAGAGAGCCCAAGACCGCCCAAGACGGCCCAAGAGGCCCCCAAGAGGGCGCCAAAACGGCCCAAGAGGGCGCCAAGACGGCCCAAGAGGCGCCCAAGACGGCCCAAGAGGGCCCCAATACGGCCCCAAGAGGGGGACCACGAACCGAAAAGTCTAGCCTTTCGCCCCAAGAAGCTTCCAGGAGGCCCCCTGAGCCCCCCAAGAAGCCCCAAGAGGCCCCCAACAGGTTCCCAAGAGGCCTCCAAAAGGGCCCGACAAGGGCCCCAATAGGACTCCCAAGAAGGCCCAGAGACGCCAAATAGCGATCGGTAACGCAAAAAGCTCTTCACACCAAGGCTCCCAAGAGCGAACGGTGACGTAAACAAGCTGATAAGACCAAGGCTCCCAGCAGAGACCGGTTAACAAGTTCCTGACACCAAGGCCCAGCCAAGGCTCAGGAACGGGCGGCAACGCAACAATCTCTGAACACCAAGGCTCCCAAGAGCGAGGGGTGACGTAACAAGCTCTCAACGCCAAGGCTCCCAGTACGAACGGTGGTGTGAGTAATTTCGGTTTCTGTTTCTGAAGCGCTCTTTCCGTTTCTGTGCTGGGCCAGGTTTGTTGGCTCAGCGCAGGACGCCCCTGGCGGCGCCTCCATCGCCGATCCAAGAAATCCGCCTGCACCTCCGAGAAATTATGCTTATGCCTTTACCGCTTCAAGGTCTACCTCGCCAAGTCGGCCCCAGCCTTCGCTGCTCCGCAGCCCGCTTGCAAGCTCTTCCGCGCCCCCCCCGCGCCGGCGAGCTCCCTCTGGGGCCACGAAGCGCTGTACTTGGCGGGGTGGACGCATGCGAACTGCGCCACTGGGGCCTTCGGTGGAGCTCCCTCTGGGGCCACGAAGCGCTGTACTGGGTGGGGGGGACGCATGCGAACTGCGCCGTGGAGCTCCCTATGGGGCCACGAGACGCTATACTAAGTGGGGGAGACGCATGCGAACTGCGCCACTGGGAGCTTAGGTGGAGCTCCCTCTGGGGCCACGAAGCGCTGTACGGGGTGGGGAGGACGCATGCGAACTGCGCCACTGGGGCCTTCGGTGGAGCTCCCTCTGAGGCCACGAGACGCTATACTGGGCGGGGGAGACGCATGCGAACTGCGCCACTGTTGCCTTCGGCGGAGCTCCCTCTGGGGCCACGAAACGTTGCACTGGGTGGGGGGGATGCATGCGAACTGCGCCACTGGAACCTTCGGCGGGGCTCCCTCTGGGGCCACGAAGCGCTGAAACGGATGGAGAGTCGCGTTCGAACTGCGCCACTGTTGCGTTCGGTGGAGCTCCCCATGGGGCCACGAGACGCTATACTGGGTGCGCGAGACGCATGCGAACTGAGAAACTGGAACCTTCGGTGGAGCTCCCTCTGGGGCCACGAAGCGCTGTACTGGGTGGGGGGGGACGCATGCGAGCTGCGCCACTGGGACCTTCGGTGGAGCTCCCTGTGGGGCCACGAAGCGCTGTACTGGGTGGGGGGGACGCATGCGAACTGCGCCACTGACTGGGACTTTCGGTGGGGGTCCCTACGGGACCACGAGACGTTGTACTGGGCGGGGGAGACGCATGCGAACTGCGCCGCTGGGACCTTCGGTGGAGCCCCTTGTGTGGCCACGAAGCGTTGTATTGGGTGGGGGAGACGGATGCGAACTGCGCCACTGGAACTTTCGGCGGGGCTCCCTCTGGGGCCACGAAACGTTGCACTGGGTGGGGGAGACGCATGCGGACTGCGCCACTGGGACCTTCGGTGGACCTGCCTTTGAGGCCGCGACATCATGTACTGGGTGGGGGAGACGCGTGCGAACTGTTCCACTGGGACCTTCGGTGGAGCTCCCTCTGGGGCCACGAAACGTTGCATTGGGCGGGAGAGACGCATGCGGACTGCGGAGGAGGGAGGTGGGGGAGGAGGAGGAAGGCGTGAGTGAGGAACGCGGAGCGCTGTCCCTTCAAAACGAGGACCCAGCACCACAGCATGGTTGTGAAAAAGCAAACGTGGAGGGAGGGCGATACAGGGTAGTGATGGAGGGGCAAGGATTGATGTGGGCCCTCTCGTCTCCTACCCGTCGCCCCCTCCTTTCTTCCCCGCTCTTATTGTTGTACGCATTCTTACTATGGATACCGCTCTCTCCTCTCTCCCTGCTTTTGTCCCGAAGATGCTGAGCCCTCTCCGAGTATTGTTTAACGCAGGATTGGACAAAGGTGTTTTGTTTGTTCTTGTGGTTCGTTCACAATCCGATTGCTCTCGGAGTTTCAAGCTGGCGCTCCCGCTGCAGCGCGGGCCTCGTTTGCTGTTCGTGCTCGTCGTCCTCCTCCTTCCTCATCCTCATCCTCCTCCTTCCTGCCCATTTTCCTGTCATCGCCACCCTGCATGCAGTTCTTTTTTCCCGACTGCGTATTAGGCGATGAGGTCCCCTTTGGAGAATTCAAGGCCCGCCATGACACGCGTCGGCGGACAAAGCCAACACATCGCACTGGGCAGGGCTGGGGGCGGGGCGGGGGGAGGATGTCAGTCACGGCGGAAGCGCGCCCAGCTTGGCCTCCGCCCTTTGCTGCTTCCTCCCCCTTTCTACTCTCCTCCTCGCTGGAGGAGGAGGAGGAGGAGGAGGAGGAGGAGGAGGAGGACCACGACCTCGACGATCACGACCGCTAACAACCACGACGACCGCTACGACCCCGACGACCCCGACGAAGACCACGACCACGACGGCTGCGGCTGCGAAGCCTCCCCCCCCTCCCCCGGACAGGAGGGCCGCACGAACATCGAGCTGAACCTCAGCCCCGCCGCAGACCCGTGCCAGGCGGAGGCCAACTTCGTCGAGGCCCGCTCCCGCCCCTTGGCCTGCGCGCAGCGGGCAGCATCCGGCGGCGAGCGACCTTCTGTGGGTGATTGAGCTGGGTCTCCTGCTATAGCTCGGTATCGCTCTGGCGTGTGCACTTTTTCTCGGCGGGGATTGTTAAGGAGTGTCCTGGATCATCCTGCTGGAAATTCCACGCACGAAACCGAAACAGACACAGGGAATGGACGTCCGAGCGATGGCTAGATAGAGGATTTCAGTAGGAGTCCTTCTGTGGGGGAATTCACCAGGAATCCTTGTCTGAAGGGCTTCAATAGAAATCCAGTGCCAAGTCGATTCCAAGGCAACGCCTGTGCTGTGCCAGCGCCCTGTCAGCGCACAACCGATGCAATGCCCAGGGGCACCACTGAACTGTTTAAATCATTGCAATATATTGCAAGAAGGCGGTGGGTATCCTCAGGAATCCTCGAGCCTTCTGAGAGGTTCTCTGTGTCTTCGGGGAGGGCTTCGAGAACTTCTGACTGAGAAGGCCAGAGGACTCCCGAGCCGTCTGACAAGGCCCGCCCCTTCCCGCTTCCCCCCCTCCCGGGCTCGCCGCCGAGATATGCCGCCCCCCCCTTCGTCACCACCCCTCGTCTCCATCACAAAGCAGTGCGCAGTGATCGCTCGGTGACAAGAGCTCGCCGCAGCGTGCACGTCGGCCTGTGCTGTCGAGAGGGCTTGTCGGGGCAAGAGGTCATGGGTCTGGGTTGGCCCCCGGTCGGGCGGGGACAGGGGTGTATGCTGACAATTGCAGTGACGCACCCCTCCCCCCAAGAGCAGGGCGCATTCCGGTTTTTTCGGTTCGATTCGATTCGATGTTGATGGTCGCCGATTCACCGATTCCAATTCGATTCGACTTCGGAATCCGATTTGGGTGCCGATTCCGCAGTGGAGGCCTGCAAACCTGCCGATTTCTGCCGATTCGATTTTTTCTCCGACTTGGCTCTCGATTTCTGCCGATCCGATCCATTTCGATCGCTGATCCGACTTATCGATTCGATTCTGGGCTTTCCTGCAAGAGGAAGAGGGGGCAGAGGAAACACTCTGAACCACCTCAGCCCAGCGGGCTGGTGGGACTTTGTGCCGGCAGTCTGGCCCGCCTGGCACGCTTGCCGCTGAGCGCCGTGCCTCAGTAGGGGAGCCTTCGGAGTGCAAGAGACCCCCCGTCCTTCCTCCTGTCCCTCCCCCGTCCTTCTCCTCCGTGCTCGCTCCTCCATTTGCCCCCCCCCCCCCTCCCGTCACTCGACGCCCGGGGAAAGGTCACCGAAAGGTCTCTTGCCCTCCTCCCCCCTTGTACCGACCTCCCCCCCCTCCCACGCTGGTAACTTCTGCCTCTTTCCGCTGGCACCTGTCACGTCGTCGTCCTTGACGACGCCGTCGTTGTCGTCGTCGTCATCATCACCGTTCTGGCACACCTCTCACACGGTTCGTGGCCCCATAATGGGGACCTCCACCGAAGGTCCCAATGGCAGCGCCCGCATGCGTCCACCCGCCCATTTCGGCACATCCCTTACGCGCTTCGTGGCTCCACCGGAGCCCCAGTGGCAAGGTCCGCATGGCGGCCCCGTTCCCAGGTAGGAGCGCTCCTCACACGCTTCGTGGACCCATAGGGAGCTCCACCGACGGCCCCAGTAGCCGCGCGCGCAGGGCTCGAGCTGCATCCTTTTGCGGCGCGCTGCTTATGAGGAGAGACCATGCTGTACGACACTCGTAGTTTGATCGCCCCTCTCCTCCGTATCGCCTGCCTTGTGGTATTCGCAGCTGCATGTGTATATACATATACATATGTGTGTATATATGTATACATGGGTTTGTAGGTGTACATTGTATGGTTGGGTCCTTCGTCAGGCTAATTGAGTCCCAGCGTCTTTCTTGTTAAAAACAAAGAAAGGATTCTGGCCTCCTGGAGATCGTGATTAAAACACGGGGGGCGCGTGATCAAACAAATGGTTCCCTTGCTCGTGCGAATCGCGGTGCGGGGGCGCCCGCCAAATGGAAGCACACGGCGGCGGCGCCGGTGATTAGCGCCGACGCCTGGCAACCAACGAGAGGGCGACAGGCGTGACGCAAGCGGCGCCGCTTCAGCGGAGGGGGACAGCAGCGCTTTCGCTATGGCGGGGCGCTTGGGCCAAAATTCCCACATATAGCAGAGGAAGAGGAGGCGGGGGGAAGAGGCGCCTCAGCGGGCGGGCGGTGCCGACATGGCTGCAAACCAGAACACGGAGAGGGGTGGATGAGCGGCAGAGGCAAGCGGAAAGGGCTCCTCATTCTCCTTCTCCACCCCTCCCCGCCCCCCTCCACTACCTCAGCATGTCCTCCGGCGACGGCGACGGCGATGGCGACTGCGACGGCGACGGCGGACGATGACGCTCTGCGGCTGCTCCGTGGGGGGGGCGGGTGTGCTGCGAATGCCTGCTGTAATCGAAGACGGCGACGACGACGCACTGCGGATGCCCCATCCATGGTGGGGGGGAGGTTGCGTAGGCCCGCTGTCGATGGCGACGACGACGACGCACTGCGGGAGATGCCCCATGGAGGGGGTGCTGCGTGGGCCCGCTGTAGTTGACGACGACGAGGAGGAGGACGACGAGGATGACGAGGACGAGGACGACGACGACGACGACGAGGACGACAACGACGTCGAGGACGACGAGGACGACGAGGACGACGATGACGAGGACGACGACGACGATGACAACAACAACCCTGACTGTGACACGTCAGTAATCAGCCTGAGAGGGGGAAACCTTCGCCTCGGATGTATACGATCCCTACAGTAACTTCTATACGAAAAACAATTGTTTTGAGGCTGCCGTGCAGGGGGGTACACGACCCCCCAGCGCGCGTGATTAAACAAATGTTTCGCGCCCCGCGGGGTCCATTCATCAGCCCCGCGCGCGCATTTATACAAGCGACCCGTCCGACGACCGCATGTTAGATATAATGAATACGTACACACATACATACATGCATGCATAAATACATACATACACACAAACACACATACATACATGCATACATCCATACATACATACGTATATATATATGCTTGTTGACATATATGTAAACATCTATGCAAACATACATGCTTGCATACATACGTACATATATAGTGTATTATAGTATATCACATTAGGACATGTTATATCATATGACATTCGATTGTATTATATTATACTACATTATATCATGTTGTATCATACTATCATATTTTTATTACATTATTTTGTATTGTATCACTATGTCATATCATATTATGTTATGTTATAATGTATTACATTGTATTGCATTATGTTATATCATATTATATAATGTAATATAATATTATATTATATTCTATGATATTATAATATATTATACTATAATTATATAGTGTTATATTATATTATATGTTATGTTAGTTTAGTAGGTCGTAATGGATTATATTATATCATATTATAGTGCACCAGAATATATTATTGTATATTATGTTACATCAAACTAATTTATATTATATTTCATTATATGATATCAAAGTATATCATATTATATTGTAGCGTATCATATTATGTTACCTTATATTGTATTGTATTGTATTATATCATGCTGTCTTATATTATAATATATTATACTTCATTCTAGTATAATATATTGCATTATATTATATTTTATTTTATTCTATCATATTATATTACATATATTTCTATGTGTGTATATACAAAGATTTCCCCATGTGCGGCCTGGGCACGTGTCAGCATGTGCCAAGCGCACAAGCGCCATCAACATGTTAAAGACCCACGCCCCCTCCGCGCGCGTATTTGCTACACGGACGTGGAGGCCGCGAGGGCGCGGCTGCGGACATGCTCGCCGCTCTCGATATGGGGGCTCCAGACAGCGGGTGGCCCCCCTGGCAGGGCTTGACGTCGCAGAACTTGGGGGTGTCCTTGAACATTGGCGTCTGACCCGCCGCGGCGGCGTGCCGCGGGCGCCTGCTGCAGCGGCGGCGGCCTCTGGGGGGGCGCGGCTCCAGGGGGGATGGTCGGGTCGGGCGGGCTCAGCAGCAGCCGGCCACGCGCAGAAGGCTTCGTACCCAGACCCCCTCGCGCGATGCAAGCGAGACATGACGGGAAACTTGTCGCTATTCTCAGCCTCCAGGGGCCCTTACCAGGCCTCGGGACAGTCAAGAAACGATTCGGGATGAAAAAGCAGTCCCGGGGAAGGGGTCCAGACCTCTGGAGGTCGACGGTGTGAACAATATGCTTCTTAAGGTAGGGGGAGGGGGGAAGGCTTCTTAGAAGGAGGCCGCTTCTTAGAAGGCGCGGACCTTATCTGTAGATGTAGGGCCGTCGCCTCTTGAGAAGCAGCCTCCTTCGATACGCCTTCCCACCTCGCCCTGCCCTCTTGTGCGCGCCGCCAAATCAACTCATGGGAGCCTCGTATACCCTCGCAATTCCGCATGTAGAGTGCGTCAGCGTCTACTAGCGTTTGGTAATTCGCGAGATTGCCCCGATTCAGCGTCGACTAGCATCGATGAGCGTCGGTTAGCGCCGATTTGGCGCCGATTTTGTGCCGATTCTCAAGAGCCAGCAAGACTGTATGGCAGAGCCACATGAGATGCCGCAGAAGACAGGCAGGGGGGGGGGGATAGAAGATAGCTTTTTTGTCCCCTGGCGGTAACGGGCGGGCATGACCGGGGGCGGGGGGGGGAGGGGTCTAGTCACGTCACGATTCGCGCCTGCGCCGTCTAGGAATGCTCAGGACTGGCTGTTTCCCAGACGGCGCTGGCGCGAATCGTGACGTGACTGGGGGAGGGGGAAGGGGGGGATGGGGCCGGTCACGGGAGTTACAGTCAACCCGCATAGTATAGATGGGCAATTTCAAAAGTTACTTTTGTATCCTTCCCCTTCGGCTCATCTTTGGCCGCTTTCGCTGGCCGCACCCCGCTCGCAAAGTGTCGACGTGGCCTTCCAATGCCCTTGCATCCTTATCGTGCGTCCTTATTCTACGGGTTGATTGTATCGCGAATGATACAAAGATCTAGTCGAGGGGGCCTGAGGGGTCCGAGAGTGGGGGTGACCGGGCGGGGCTAGGATGAGGATAAATCCGTTGCAGAGCGTTCTGGAACGCTCTCAGAGCGTTTCGGAACGTTCTGAAAAGGCCGCAGCGCCCGAGACGTTCTCCAGAGCCGCCAGATCTCAGAGATGCTCGATTTATCCGCACCCGATGTTTTGATCCTCGTCCTGGCTTCGTCTTAGGTGATGACTGGGAGGGGGCGATATCATTCGGCGGCGAGCGAGGGGGGAGAGTGAGACAGGGGCGGGCCTTCTCAGAAGGCTCCGAAGTCCCCAAGCCTTCTGTAAGGTTTTTTGAGCCTTCCCCGAAGACAGGAAAGCCTTTTGGTAGGCCAGAGGCCTTCTGCGAAGCCCCGCCGCCTTCTGATAAGGCCTTCTCCTTCTCACCTTTCCCCCCTCGGTCGCCGCCTAATCATGGCCGGAGCCACGACGTCTCACCAGATTGAAATCGGGCGTGCCCCTCTACAGGAGGAATCTGCAAAAGTAGTCAAAATATAGTCCGGGGACGGTTTTCCGACCATCTTTGACTGTTTTGAATATTTTTTGGGGGGTATTTCAAACTGATCCTCCAACATCCGCCCGTGGGGGGACGCGCCCGACCTGACACCGGATGCCGTGGCCCCCCTGCGGTGCTCCCCTGCGGGGCGCGCCCGCTGGCCCCTCGAAGTAGCCCTCGTCCGCGCACCCGCCTCGGGCCGCGGCTCTTGCCGCCCCCGCCTCGGGGGCGCCCCCCCCTCCTTGGACGCCCCTGGGCTTACGTCTGGCCTGTCCCTCCACAGGAGGCAGAGTCAGAAATAGTAAAACGACGATGTTTCGACTGCGTTTGCCTATTCTTGAATATAGTTTGACTACTTTCTAGCTTTGCCTTCAAGATCCGCCGGTAGGGGGACGGGCCCGAGCCCGACCTGACCCTGGGCTTGGGAGAGGGAGGGCTTCAGGGGCAACGACAGGAAGGGATAGGCAGGAGGGGGCGAGGCAGCGACCTCCCGTCGCCCAGAAGAGGCCCCTTGAGCCCTCTGAGGAGGCCCCCCCCGCCTGCGTTTCCCCCAGGGTGCCCGCCGCCGAGTCTTGCCCTCCTCGTCGTCGTGCCCCGCCCCCCGCTGTTGTGCGCTCCCGGCCCCCCCCCCCGCCCCCCCCCCCTGCCCGCCCGGAAGGCAGGAGCGCACGATGCCTCTCGGCAGGCGAGATTGTGCCTGGGAGTGCGAGCTTGCGCCGGCCCGCGGGCCCTTCGAAGACCCAACTGGCGTTTCCCCGCCCGCTCGCCGCCCGCGCCCCCGCTCCCCCGACCCCCTGCCTCCCGCTCCTCCGCCCGCTCGCCGCCCACGCGTCGTGCTCCCGTGCGTCCTCCCTGCTCCCCTCCCCCCTGCCTCCGTCGTCGCTTCCCCCCTTTCTTCCGCCGCCGCCTCCTCCGCCGCCTCCTCCGCCTCCTCCGCGTGATCCTCCTCCGCCGCCGCCTTCTCCGCCTCCTCCGCGTCCTCCTCCGTCTCTTTGTCCCCCTCCGCCTCCTCCTCCTCCTCCTCCTGCCCCTCCCTCTCCTCCTCCTCCTCCTCCTCCTCCTCCTCCTCCTCCTCCTCCTCCTCCCAGGTTCCTTCTTGCCTTATCAGGCATTCCTCCCTGTCGCACCCCCGGGGCGTGTCGATCGGGCGGGCCCCCGGCGCTTCGCCCGAGACGCCCTCACGATGGATGGGGCGATCCGCAAGCTGAGTATTTGCAAGTCTTTCCCTGGTGTCTGAGGCGGGAATTTATACATGACCACCGCCCTGGCCCCCGGGCAATAATTGTCACGGGTGCTCTTTCGCTGTCCCTGCCACGTGCCTGATAGCGTCTCCGTATTCTTTGGTGGTCGGCTGCCCACGCAGCCCGGCTTCCCTCCATGTCCGGGGGCAGTGGTCTAAGTTGTCGAGGCATCCAGCCGCCGTGGTCGACGTGAGGGGTGTAATAAAAAAAAACATGACCACCGCCTGAAGGGTCAGTTTTCGGAGCCTCGGCAGGCGGTGGATATGGACATCTTCGGGCCCCCAGGGGCCGAAATAGGTATCCATGTCCACCGCCCGCTGGGGCACCAGGGCGTCGGTTCCCAGGCGGTGGATATGGATACATCCCTGCCTCGAGTGGTGGAGCCCGGGCCGCCTGCAAGCTGTGGCTCGCGCCTCCGCTCCGCGCGCGCTCGTCGTATAGACATCTGCTGGAGCCTCACGGACGGAGGGGGCGGTTCCCTCTCGAGGTGTGGCTCTCGCCTCGGCGCCCCAGGGTTAATCACGGTTCGCTCGGCCACGCGCAGAGGGGGGTGGGGGGAGGGAGCAGGGTTGTGGAGGACGATCAACGGAGAGGAAGCATGTTGCGAGATAATTGCCAGCTGTCTAAAACATGCTTCAAACAAAGTTTTGAGCATGTAAAACATGTGTGACACTTTTACCACATGTTTTACACATTTTAAACACGTTTTGAATTCAATGATCGGATTGTTAGAGTGTCCATTGTCATGGCATCCACAAGGGTAGGGCTTCTTAGAAGCACCCCTGCTTATTAGAAGGCGCGGGCCTTGTCTATAGGTGAAAGGCCGGTGCCTTCTAAGAAGCAGCCTCCTTCTGAGAAGCCTTCCCCCTCCCTCCACCCCCTTGTGCGCGCCGCCAAATCACGTCCCAGAAATAAGGTCTTGGCATGCTGTCGGACTGTCGGCTGCACCAGTTACTCCAGATTTCGTAATGAGGGGGGTCTCATTTCGGGGGAGTCTCTTCCAGGCTATCTTGGAGGGCCTGGGGGGGTCTGGGGACGATGTTTTGGAGGGTTCTCCCACGGGGGGGGGTCTGAAATGGCTTGTCTTGGAGGGTCCAGACCCCCTCCCTTTTATTACGAGATCTGGAGTACGCTGGTCGCGGTGTTTCAATCCAAGAACTCGTTCTCTCGCACGATGCAGGGGCGGCAGGGCGCCATTGTCTGATTCCCTCGCAGCGTGGAAGTCCCAGGAATTGGTGCTCTGGCGCAGCTCAGGGATTTCAAGCGGTTGTCATCTGACGGGCATTTCCCTCCGCGAAAATGAACCTTGGCAAGAGCGTACGGAGAGGGCACTTGGAGGGGGGATCTATTGCAACATCTTTGATGAGTCTTGGGTTTGCACTTTGTCCTCCTCTCCTCCTCCTCCTCCTCCTCCTCCTCATCCTCCTCCTCCTTTCCCTCCTCCTCCTCCTTTCCCTTCTCCTCCTCCTCTTCCTCATCCTCCTCCTCTTACTCCTTCTCCCTCCCTCCCTCCTCCAGGGGCAACACCAGGTGGGATGGGCTCAGATGGGGCTGCGCATCGCCGAGGTTCGAGGTTCGAGGCTCGAGGTTTTCGGCGCTCCTGTGTTTTTTGTCAGCGGCCTTCCAGGCTCGGGGGTGTTCTCCAGCACCTGCGCCGTGCCTCGCCGGAGCGCTCGGGGCCGGGGGGGGGGCCCAGATCGTCGCGAACGGCCGCCGCAGAGCCGAGCTGTGGCCCCACAGCCCCGGACATGCGACGTCCTGATTTTCTCAATACGGCGCCCCTGGAAGTCTCGACCCGGTTCCCCAGGACCGGTGTTTCGTCCTGAAGCGTTTTGTTGACGGTCCCGAGGCCCGGCGGGTGCCCCCCAGGGCCGAAAATTGTGGAAGACTTGCCGTCCTGATTTTCTCACGACGCGATCCTGTCTGGGGTCAGAGGGCCCTCGATAGACTCAGGCGAGACGACATCGGCCCCCAGTGGCCCAGCTGCTCCCCGGGGGGGGGTCAGGAGCCCGCCCCGCCCAGTGGAGCGTGCGGGTTCGCCATCGGGGGCTCATCTCCGATCCGTCGGCGATGCATCGCTGGTTCCGGCTCGATGTGCCCCCCTCCCCCCCCGCCCCGCTCCCCCCCAGTAGGCCGCTCCCTACGCTTAAGTC